GTGAACGTTGTTGAAGTGAACAGGTTGGGACAAAGGGAGGAAGGCTTGGTTCAAACCTCACCAGGAGCAGCTCACTCTCTGGCACACTAAAGACACACTCAGTGAAAGATGTTACTTTCCACATTCCCTCTCACACCTGACACACACAGCAGATCATGTTTTATTCATGCCTGCAGTAAGTGAATGAAAGAGATGCAGAAGCCGGTCCCTGCAGTCCTTCTTTGAGGTAAGGAGTGAAAAAAAGCCCCTGATGCTCATTTTACATAAGACGACAATCTGAGGCTGACTTCCTTTTCAATGAGCGCAGTGACAAAGTCGTTTGACAGGCGTTACTTTATTAATGCACGCTGGCCCTGACTCCACAGCACATGCGGGATGTGCCCCAGTTTTCACAGCAGCACATGTATGTACGCGTATGTGTGTGTGTCGCTGTGACATCAATACGTCAGCGGGGTGCTTTCATCATGTGTTCTGTGGAGGGGCTCTGAAGGGGATCAGATGATGTGACAGAGTGAGAGCTGAGGTGAGCAGGAGTGAGGAGTGTTGCTAAACCTGATGAGCGCTGAGTCGAGGTGGCGCTAATCTCGCCGCGGAGCGCTACCTGGCACCAACGACAGCAGGCAGCTGACAGGTGCTAATTGGCAATCACAGCCTTGTAGGCTCAATAATGCACTTCTCACACCTTTAACTGAGTCTTTGTCCTCCAGTGAACGGCACATGAATTCAAATCTGGTTTGCTGCTATGCTATATCATGCCTGCAAAAGCCACTGGAAACAGAATAGAACAAAAAAGATGCTGATGCAGCTTAAGGTTACATTTCTCACCTTTTATGTGGATTTGAACCAAGTTTTTTTATAGTAAATGTAGTTGATTGAAGCAATACATTCCTCCATGGGTTCTATACTGACAGAAAAAGCTTGCAGTTTGCAGTCGCAAAACCTTTCATTCATGCCTCAAAGGTGAAAAATAATAAAAAAACAAAGACATGTCTTGATGAATGGAAGTAGATGCTTGGCTCATTCAACAACAGTAAAACTGTATAAACAATATATATCAACAAACTCTCACACAACATATTCAGTTTCATGTTAGGGTCATTAATCAATTTGTCAAGGTACTAATTCAAAGACACATGCATGTTTCCTAAAACATTACGTTTCTTTTTTACTTTTTTTACTTTTTATTAAGATAGCAAGAAGATTCATACAACTGAATAAAAGAGACTTGGATTCATCTGCACAAGTTGTGTGAAAGGAAGCAGATGTTTTGACATAGCTGAACGCGGCTTACATTTACTTCTAATGATATACAAGTACCCATTAATATTGCTGCTGATCATTTTGTGAGCGGTTTGTGAAACTAGAGAGGATAAATATTCTCATAAGAGCAGCATTACTTGCCTTCAGCAAACAGAATTTGATCTCTTCTGTCACGCTTATGATTCAGAATCACGCTCACCAAATGTTATATTTTGAAAAGTCCATATTACTCCATGTTTACTCAAATGCAATAATGTCTCTTTATTTTCTCTTGGTCGCCAGATAAACTGAACTAGAGATTTGAAAGGTTGTTCAGTATGAACAATATCAGTGAACAGAATCCCCTCAGTAGCACACATCTATTGATGATGTAGGAGTGTACAGGAGTGTGGCTGTCAGTTTAGCTCCATGTATAGCAGTTATAGTCAGTTTGAGATGTGGCTGAGTGGGTGATTATTTATATGATTGCATGAACTTCATAAGAAAGTTGTTGCATGGACCAAAGCATTTGCAAAAAGTTAATGTCACACCTCCATTGATGGCTTAATCAGTCAGAAAACCATCAGTCATCCTATTTTAGATCTGATTGCTTTTTTCTATGTCATAACAATTTAGCAACCAATGGTTGCATTCTAAGCTGTGCTTTTTTTCTCCCACTGAAGTTGTAGGGTGGACACACGGAAAAAACTGAAACATGGACTTTAATGAAATGTATTATGTCAACAGATTTCGCATAAGTGTATTAAGTTAGTCGAAAGCAATAATATTACGTTTATTTCCTTCAACTAACTTTCGTTTACATGAGGCCGTAACAAAACGATAGAAACGGACCCCGCAAACCCTCTATACGATCATTTTCTGATAACGATGAAATAGCCCCGCCTCCCTCTCCCCACGTCTCCCTCTCCCCACGTCTCCTGCTCAGAGATCAGCTGCTGGGCTGTCAGGAGAGGGGGAGGAAAAGAGAGGCTCCGTTTATTATTCTTATATTATTATATAGAGTCGTTATCAATTTGTTTTAACACTAGAACCGCCAGAGGTTTTTGTATACCTAAAACCGCCACCTGGGTCAAATTGACCCGCTATTAGAATGCATTGATTTTCAAGGTAAAATGTTCTTTTATTGAACAGTGAGTTTTGATCGCACAGGGATGAAACGTATACCAATAGAATCTGTGGACTCTCAGCTTTTCATATGGCTCGACATTATAAATGGCCCGCTGGCCCGGAAGCATTATTTAGACACCGCGGCCAGCATAACGTACTTTCAACTCGCCCCACAGCTGTTTGCTGCGGAGCGCAGCGCGAGCAGTCTCCCGTGAGCGGGAGCGCACTCCTTCACTACAGACTGTCTCTATCTCTCTCTCTCTCTATCTATAACTATCTATCAATATATCTATCCATCTATCTCTCTATCTCTCAATCTATCGCTCAATCTATAAGGAACCGCAGTAGACAAAAGGCGTTGCTATAGCAACACGTCATGTTTATATGAAAAGGGGTGGGGTCAATATGACCCGCTGGGCGGAAATAGGTATGAATGGTAATTTTTTGGCCGATTTCTTCAATCTGACTTCATATTGACAATTTTTAACAACATAGGGTGCTACATAACACACTTTCAGGAAAAGTCACGGACTGGAAGACTTTAATATTTTATTGAAAAAAAGTTACATACAATAAAAAACAGCTCTGGGTCAAATTGACCCGATTGGTGGTTCTAGTGTTAAAGCTCAATAAATAACAAAGAAGACCTCTGACCGGCACTTTTCTAATTTTGTCCGGAAGATTTAAACTTTAACAGACATGTTGACCGGCGACATTTTTTTTTAACGGAAACTCTGCTGCATGGTCCCCTCGTCCCTTGGAAGAGGCGGAGAGGTGGGTGTTTTTCATCTGCTGGTGGACTAACCGGAGAGATGTACAGCAGGAGCACACGCCGCCCACCGCGGAGAATAAACAGAAGGGCAACCATGGCAACCATGCTCCGGGGTCTTCTTCACTGCTTTTGGTGTATTTTGTGGCGGCAGCAGCGCTACTTACAGGCCCGGCATATGTACTACAGCGTTTCCAGCGTTTCCAGCGGTCTCGTGTGAACGGACACGTTAATTGAGCCGAATGCGTGTGAACGGAAGACTTTATTGAAAACGCATACGGTGCGTAAACGCAAACGTTCCCGTGTAAATGGGGTCTTAGAGTTGCATTGTCTAGAACAGGGGTGACCAACCTTTTTTAGGGTGAGGGCTACTTTAAAAAAATAAAACAAGTCGTGAGCTACTTTTACTCCTCTTTTTTTTTTTTGCAGTGTATACATTTAGCACATTTTAACATTATGCTGACCTTTAACCTCTGTGTGCTGTTTGGGTCTGTGGGACCCGTTTTCAGTGTTTACTAAAAGAACATGTATGCAATTTAATTATTTTAACCTGCTTTATTTGGGGGTGGACGGGCCTCACCTCCTCTAGGGGGGTCCTCACCTCCTCTAGGGGGGTCCTCACCTCCTCTAGGGGCATGCACCCCCAGGAAGATTCTTTTTAAATGTTGTAGTGAAATGCATCAATCTGGAGCACTTTGAGCACAACATGAATTGATGGATACAGCTCTCAACACTCAGATGAAAGGGAGCTGTATACTTTTCAATAATCCAAACATCTTTAGAATATGATCACAACCAATAACAAATCATTTAAACTGGTTTATTCTTATCTTATGTTACCTAGTTAGCATTCTTTCTTTTTATTTATGCATATTTGACTAATCACTCCCCTTTCAAACTGTTTTTTGTTTTTTTTACTGTCCTATACACATTGGAATGACTTCTTAGTTTATCTATATTAAATAGATAAAGGTGTGCTCTCCCTAGCTCTCTCGCTCACTCTCTCTGTCTCCCCCTCTCTCTCTCTCTCTCCCTCCCTCCCTCCCTAGCTCTCTCGCTCGCTCTCTCCGTCTGTCTCGCTCGCTCACAGAGGCTGTGTGCTCCTCCGTGGCGATGACGGCTTGCGTTAAAAAATAATAATAAACATATTTGTAAAGTGGGGGGACACAGACGGGATTTCGAAAAGAGCGGGGGACATGTCCCCCCTGTCCCAGGTGGAGATTACGCCATGCGTGTGTGTGCGTCAAGTGCAATAAATAAATATGCAAGTTGCAACACACAGAGTAAAACTCTGGCCCTCATGTGCTGTATAGGCTGGCACCACTAGGCTGTTCAATGGGGCTGCTGTGTTGTGTAGATTCTGCCAGAAGGAAAGGTTAAACTCCTTATGAAGCGGTGAGCTGCCGCTCCACATTGCTTTTCTGCCAGACTGCAACGCTGGTCCCGCAAATCAAGCAAGAACGTGATTGGTCGATATTCATTGTGGGGGTGGGGGGAGGAGGGGTGTTAGATAGATATAGAGTCTAACACTCTAAGTAGATAAACTTCGCTATGATTGAGGTTTCGTTTATGCATAGGGTAGATTCTTTTAATTACATTTCCTTTTTTGTTTTGTGTATTTTAAACATTTTGGATTTGCTTGGCGAGCTATTTTTAGAACATGCCCTGCGGGCGACTCACATTGCCCTGCGGGCGACTCACGTTGCCCCTGCGGGCGACTCACGTTGCCCCTGCGGGCGACCAAGTGCCCGCAGGGGTAGCCACCTCTAGCACCGTGTTGGCTACCCCTGGTCTAGAGGTCAATAGCACTTCGACCCATGGAAAGGAAAAACTGTGCAGGACAAAGTGTGTTTGATAGTCGTACCTCTTCCGGAAGGCTGACCACCAAGCCATTCTCCGCCTGGCCCACCAGCGCCTGCAGGAAGTACTCGCTGCAGGCGGCCAGCACGGAGCGGTGCCCGCGGAACTCCTTCCCCTCCACCAGGACGGTTACATCGCACAGGATATCCTGCTTCCGCTGGTCGTTGAGGCAGAGGAGGATATTGGTACAATGAACTGTCGACTCATACACATACATGGGGGCTTCAGGCTTCTCATCCACGGACATTCCGCTCACGCCCTGGAAATAGAAGCACAACAGAGGGGGGTCAGCTTACAGCCAAACCCAGCAAGCACATACCGCAGGGCTGACATCAGCCCCCGCCTCATGATTCAACACACACACTGCTCTCTGCACATCATCGCTCCCCTTTAACATTTAAACAACATTTTCAGAATCAGAAACAGGTTTATTGACAAGTAGGTTTACACATACGAGGATTATGCCTTGGTGTACATGGTGCATACATAAACATAGTTAACGAAGATAAATTGTAAGAAAAAATTATTTAGATGAAATTACGTACAGAGAAAATACAAAAAAAAATGTGCAGTATTGTTATGAAAAGTGGAAAGCTGTGCAGATATTAAGAGAGGTAGCTTGTGTACAAATATGCAAAATATTGTTGTGAACAAATGAGCAAAATATTCTTCTCATTCTCACGTGCATGCCCCTGCTCAGCGTGGTCAAACATAACATATCTATGCATGACTCACAAAAGAGTGAAGTCCAATCCCACACTAACCACTGCATTATTAAATCACATGTTATCCCATCAACAAATTAAAACATACAGAATCACTTTTTTTAGAAACCAAAAATGTCAAATAAAGGGAGCCAGGAGACTGCAGTGTAAAGTGCTGTCTCTGTATTACTGTGCTCTACAGATCCATGTGTTTTCAATCTAAGAACGACTCAGTGTAAAGGTATTCTGAGCAGCTGAGACATGAGCCAAATGATAGCACAGAGGATGTTTTGTAGTCAAGAGTAAGAACTGTTAAATAAACACTGTAACCTATGTGACTACACCGAACACTGCATATATGCAGCTTTAAAAGAAAATGTGGAATTTTACCGTTTGCTTTAAAAAAAGTTTAACCCAACAAATAAAGACTCAATCTACAGCTAAGGGTAAAACATGCACTGTTTCCCCTGCTGCTGCGAAGCATTCGTTTGATCATGCTTTATTGTGAAATGTATGTAAGGTCATTTCACCGAGTGTACTGCGACGACTCCTTAGCGAGGCAACATGTCGTGTGTTGGTGGCATTAATACATCAAATCAATAAAAAACTAAACTAATATACCTCTTTATTGTAATGTTATATTATTTAGTATTTGTCACAAAAAATAAAGTATGTTTCTATACCTGTTTCTAATACATGGTTTGTTTTTGTACCTTTTTAAATACAAGAGTTAATGACTAATTTCTCTTGTAAAGCGACTTGAGCCACATTTTATGTTATGACAGTTGCCATATAAATAAAGTTGATTATTTTTACAATATATTGAGGAACAGAAACTTCAGAATGTGCCACAGAGGTTGTTTGGCAGGAGATTTCTTTTTTTAAACAGTGATTTTTCACAGTTTTTCTAGAATGAAGGATAAACACTCCCAAGGCATCAAACTCCACCTCAATCATTCTGACCTTGAAATAATACGTACTAGTTCAATAAATAATGCCTTTTCGTCCCTTTGCTCTAGTTTTATACAATACTCCAAATTATATTTTCTTCCAAAAAGCTCCATTGGTGTTCTGTTTGAATGTGGCTGGCTATGAGACAAATGTGGAAGTCTAGAAAATGAGGATTACACAGTGATTATTCATTTCTCTTTGAAAATATTCTGTGATAACCGCTCGATGTTGACTGTATGATTGACAGCTAATGGGCCATGTAAGCTTCTTATATGTTACCTTTTAATTGAATAATAATTCTAACCAGATGTTCTATCTAGGACATGTTTTACGTGTTGAAAAAATCAAAACATATTACATGTGAACTTTCTGGTGTTAGCAAGGAAGGAAGCTCTCACTGACTCATACTTTTATGTATAAAAAATGCTTAGCAAGAGGAGAAGTGCAACTGGGAAAGAGGAAACACAGCTAACCTCTCAAGTAAATAAAGAACCCAACGTCCAGAGATGAGTTTCCTTTATCTAGGATACTCAGAGCCATATGATCTGGTAACCCCACTAGATGGTGAGGAGGTGGAATGGTTACACTGCAGGTGTGAAAATAGAGATTGGGAGGCGTCTTAAGCCCTGTACACACCAAGCCGATTTTGGCCGTCGATGGATGTCTGGCCGACGATGAGCGTTCTGTCGCCCTACTCCAGTGGTTCTCAATCTTTAATTATTTTAACCTGCTTTATTTGGGGGTGGATCTCACATCCTCTCGGGGGGTCTGGGGGCATGCACCCCCGGGAAGATTTTTTTTAAATGTTGAAGTGAAATGCATCAATCTGGTGCACTTTGAGCACCACATGAATGTATAGATACAGCTCTCAACACTCAGATGAAAGGGAGCTGTATACTTTTCAATAATCCAAACATCTTTAGAATATGATCACAACCAATAACAAATCATTTAAACTGGTTTATTCTTATCTTATGTTACCTAGTTAGCATTTTTACTTTCTAATTATGCATATTTTACTAATCACTCTCCTTTTAAACTGTTTTTTTTTTACTGTCCTATAGTACACATTGGAATGATTTCTTACTTTACTTTTTACAACTAAATTAAATAAATAACAGTGTGCTCTCTCTAGGTCTCTCTCTCTCTCTCTCTGTCTCGCTCGCTCACAGAGGCTGTGTGCTCCTCACCGTGTAAATGGGAAGGCAGGGGGTGGACATGCAGTGAAGGACAGCTCTCAGGCCCTGATCACTGGCTGTGTGTTTCTCCATAGGCAATCAATCAATTTGAAAATACCCAAGAGTGCTTGAAAAAATAAATGATTGTCTGAGGTGTTTGTGAAATGTGTCACAGTTAGCATCATGTCTCTATACACCAGTAGAACTTAGACAATCCCACTAGGACTTTCATTGTATGACTGCTGCAGTTTATAGAAAAGTTGTTGGGTATAAAAGTATTTACCGTGCAACACATGGCATTCAATGTAATGTAAAAATGTGAGTCTGTGATATATTTTGCAATTAAAACGTTTTTATCTGCTGGGAGTATTTACTAAGCTAATGCAAAAATGAACAATTTTGGAAAGATATGACATCCCTTACAACCTGTGATATATGACATTATTGTATGATTTCATTATATTATCGGATTTGTAAAGCCTTACAGATTGCAGTTGAAGTCTTGGATGAGCTTAGCCTAAAAAAGAGTCTGGAAAACATCTGGACAACATCCCCTTCACACTCTGAAAGCCAGAGTGATCCAAGCCAGCTTTAGTGTGTGTTTTAGTTCATGATGTAACGTGTCACCTTTTGAAACGCTCAAATGTCATGACTACCTATAGGCCAGGCCTTTCAGATGAAATATGCTCAGTGACTAGATGACCTGTTTTTGACCTCAGGTTTGTAAAGAAACTGATTTTGGGTGATAGTTGAGAGCATTTCCTGACTAGTCTTTAAAAAACCACAAGCAAAGACTCATCACAGTGCAGTGAGTGGTGCCTCATCCTATCAGGTGCAACAAGGGGCCACACTGACGTCTCATCAACTTGTCAATCATCTACTATTTACTGTACAGCCTAAATGACATCTGACACAAATACTTACTGAAACTAGTCCGCAGTGAGGGAAGTGAGAAATGTGGGTTGGCTTTGCGAGGCTACACTGAGCCATAAATTGCTTTAACGTGTTTTAATATTAGGCCATATGACAGAGTAATGGTTTGATTGTAGCAGTCTTGTGTAGGGGGCTGTTGTGGAACACTATGTCAGTCCAGCCTTTCTGTGGTTCTGACTGCTCTGACTGTTGTACAGTTTGCTTATTTCCTCCAAACATTTCTCAGTTGGCTTCCTATGATAATGACCTGTCTTCCAAGAATAATGTTTCCAGATGCGGTTGTGAGGTTCAGAGCAATCCAAACATGCTATTTCCACCCTGGAATGCACATTCGCTTCAGATGGTTTGTTAGAGTGGGAGGAAAATGCAAGGATGACACACACACACACACACACACACACACACACACACACACACACACCCCCCCCCCACCCACCCCCCCCACACACACACACACACACACACACACACACACACACACACACACACACACACACACACACACACACACACACACACACACACACACACACACACACACACACACACACACACACCACAAAGTAGCAGGTTGTGGCAGGTTTCTAATTAGAAGTGCTGATGGATGCAAAGTATTTGTTCTTTCTTTTTTTCTACTTCCAGGGTCAGTTGTTGACGGCAGCTCTTTCTGCCACACTAACACTGATCCCGCCAATCTTCTCGGTGAGTTACTAACATTCCTGCGCAGATGAAAGCACAGCGTGGTGGTGATGAGTCTGCTCCAGAGCTGACTGCAGGGTTCACCACTGGCTGCTCCTGGAGAGAGCTGCTGATCTGAGGGAGTCTGAGCCACACTCATGTGGCTACAGACCTGCAGACAGCTATATATGAGGAACTATAGCGCAGGTATATGTGCACTGCCACAGTACAGACTTTGGAAAGGAGCTGAGTACCTGCTGTTGCCTAACTGTCCTTGTTTCGATTGATTGCTCACCAACACATGTTGTTCTAGTTTTTTTTGTATAACAGGTTGCAAATAGAGGTCCCAGAATATAGAAGTCAATAAAATACTTGATTATTACCCAATTAATCATACATATTTCCCTGAGAAGTTTATGATCTCAATCGCTAGTTTCAAGTCTTCTTGAATACAACAAGTATTATTCCAGCCTGTCCTCCTACAAAAAACGACCATATAGGCCGATTGTTCAAGCCCTTATTACGACCCAGAGACACGTTTTAAAGTGTATGTTGTTTCTTACACGACCACTAGAGGTGCTCTAGTGGTCGTGTAAGAAACAACATGCTTGATTGCAAACGCTCCGGAGGGATGTTTATTCACAAATAACCCTCTCTGGAAAATCCTAGATTGTGGAATAGTTTGGCCATTAAAATGCTTTTTGATTCGATTTCTAGCGAGAAGTGTATATTGTAATCTTAGAATCCACGTCCAGTCGATGTGTAGGATCTATAGTTTGATAGATATTACGAAGATGATTTGAGGTATCGCCAGG